TGAGGTTGAGAAGCACTGATAAACTAGCTCGTGGAAATGCACACCAGGAATTAGCACATCTCCGAGGCACCCTGAACTTTTACAGCCTTCCTTTAGCATGGCAAGCTCAGGATCCTAATCCCGTCCCTCTCAACGTTTCGTATTCTTAGTCCCGCCTGGGGTGCCCACAAGGTGTGGCCAAAAAGTCAAGAGGGCGGCCAGAAGAAATTGCAGTAATGCATTTGTCAGAGTGCCCAATGCTGCGAGACAGCCTCAGCGCCAGGGAGAAAGGGCGATGACGTCACGGGTGCCATGATGTCATTGCGCAAGGGACCCAATTTGCAGGATGATGGGTGTTCCACAGACGCCCACGAGTAAGAACGAATTGGGGGTCGAAGCATCGCTTGCCAATGTGGGAGAAAGCTTTCCAGGATCCCTCGCCAAACGGTGCATCCGCGCGATTAAGAAAGCGAATGAGCTCGCGCCACAAAATTATTTTTTTGATTTGGGCTGCCCCAGCCCCATTCTCCAGGAAATGCTGAATTTCTTTGCTCCGGCACATGGGATTGCTGGTGCTGCTTCTCTTCCTGCCCTTGTCATCATTTCGGGAGGGGTGTCGCATCCCACCTTGCTGGGGGGTCTGCAGGGTGTAGTCGAGAAAGTCAAGATGGCTTCCGCAGTGGTGCAGACAAAGCTCCACCTGGTTTTTATGCGCATCACGACGCGCGTAGAAAACCGGCGGGGCTGAAATGCACCATTCTGGACGCCATCTTGACTTTTTTGACCACCCCTTGGGATTCTTCTGCTCACGCTCCAAGGCGTACCGAGCACTGGCCGAGAAACTGATTTAAATGCTTTCCACGAAGGATTCAAGCCTTTCTTCGCTGGAAAAAAAGAAAGCTGATAAGGGGGGAGCTTGACGGAAGCCTATCAAATCCTGCCTGGTGTGGAAAATGTGGGAAGAACAGGATGTTTCTTTAATGACGTTAGAACAGGGGCTCCTTCCCTGAAACAAAGTGCAGGGAGTTTCGGGCCGGATCAAAAGAAGGATGTTTTTCTCGACACGTTCGAACGAGGATTTACGTACCCTGCTCTGGAATTTGCTGACTTCAGGGTCTGGTGGTAGCCGCTGTTCAGATGATTGAAACCAGTGTTCTCAAACTTGAGAACTTTAAGACAGTCGCGGGTGGAGAGCCGCGACTGTCT